ACTCCTGTACATGCTACAATCAAGGGTCAAACTCACAACCTAGGCATGTGCCCCCACCAGAAATCAAATCAGCAGTCCTTTGGTTTGATTGATGATGCTTCAACCAATTCATCCACTCAGCCAGGGCATTGACAGTATTTTTTTATGCTGTACTTTACATCCCCATGATTATTTTCTAGTTACTAATCTGCACTTCTCAATCCTTTCACCTTTTTCACCCAGCCCCACAACACCCCTCCCATCTGGCAAACATCAGTCTGTTCTCTGCATCTATGAGTCTGTTTGTACTTTCTGTGTTTGTTTATATTATTCTTGAGATTCCACATATAAATGAAGTCATATGGTATTTGTCTTTCTCTGACTTATTTCACTTGGCATAGTACCCTTTAGGTCCCACAGTGCTGTTATAAATGGTAAGCTAAATTCTTTTTTTATGGCCAGGTAATATTCTGTTGTATATATGTAGCACCAGTTTTTTTCCACTCTTCTATTGATGGGCACTTGGGTTGCTTCCATATATGGGTGATTGTAAATAATGCTGCAATGAACAAAGGGTGCATATAGTCTTTCACATTAGTGTTTTGGGATTCTTCTGATATATACCCAGAAGTGGAATTGCTGGGTCATAAGGCAGTACCATATTTAATTTTTAGAAACCTCCATATTGTTTTCTACAGTGTCTGCACCAATCTGTGTTTGCACCAAGGGTGCACGAGGGTGCACTTTTCTCCACATATTTGCCAACATTTCTTGTTTGTTGATTTATTGATGATAGCCATTCTGACATGTGTGAGGTGATATCTTATTGAGATTTCAGTTTGTGTTTCTCTGATGATTAGTGATATTAAGCAGCTTTACATATGTCTATTGACCATCTTTATATCATCTTTGCAGAAGTGTCTATTCAGGACTTCCACACATTTTTTAATTGGATGATTTGGAGTTTTTTGGTGTTGAGCAGTATGAGGTTTTTTTTAAATAGATTTTGGATACTAACCCCTTATTGAAAGCATCATTGGAGAATATCTTTCCCCATTCAGTAGATTGTCTTTTGCTTTATTATTATTTTTTATCCTCCCCTGAGGACATTTTTTCTCATTGAGAGAGAGAGAAAGAGAGAGAGAGAGAAATATAAATTGGTTGCCTTCTCATATGTGCCCCCATAGGGGATCGAATCTGCAACCTGGGTATGTGCCGTGACTAGGAATCAAACCTGTGACATTCTGGTCTATGGGACAACATACCAGCCAATTAGCCACAACAGCCAAGGCTGTCTTTTCATTTTGTTGATGGTTTTCTTGGCTATGTAAAAACTTTTTAGTTTGGTAGTCCTATTTGTTTACTTTTTCTTTGGTTTCCCCTGTCTGAGGAAATATATTAGAAAAAATATTGCTAAGAGAAATGTCAGGCATTTTACTGTCGATGTTTTCTTTTAGGGATTTTATAGTGTCGAGTCTTACATTTAAGTTTTTAATCCATTTGGAGTTCATTTTTGTATATGGTGTAAGAAAGTGGTCTAGCTTCATCTTTTTTGCATGTATCTGTAGGTCTAATTTTCCAAACACAAGTATTGAATAGACTGTATTTGCCTCATTGTATGTTCTTGCCTCCTTTGTCAAATATTAACTGAGCATATAGGTGTGGGTTTCTTTCGGGGCTCTCCATTTTACTCCAGTGATCTGTCTATTTTTATGCCAGTCCTATACTTATTTAATCAGTATAGCTGGGAATTATAGTTTGACATGAGTTAATGTGGTATCTCTACTTTGTTCTTCTTTCCCCAGATTGCTGTGGTTATTTGGGGTCTCTTGTGGTTTCATATAAAATTTTGGATTATTTGTTGTAGTTCTGTGAAATGCAGCATTGATATTTCAATAGGAATCACATTGAATCTATAGATGCCTTGGAATGTATGGACAAAGTAACAATATCAGTTTCCCTTCTCCATGAGCACAGGCATATTTCCAACTATTTATATCCTTTTCAATTTCTTTCTTCAGTGTCTTACAATTTTCTGAGTACAGGCCTTTTGCCTCCTTGGTGAAATTTATTTCTATATATTTTATGTCATTTGCTTCAATGTTAAAGATATTTTTTGTTTGTTTTTTTAGAGAGGGGGGAGGGAGGGAGAGGAACATTCCTGTGTGAGAGAAACATGGATCGGCTGCCTTTTGCACACCCCCCCCCCAACTGGGGACCAAGCCCACAACCCAGGCACACCCACTGCAGGGCCTCAAACCGGTAATGCCCAACCATCTGAGCCACATGGGTCAGGGCTGTTCAATGCAATTTTAAATGGGATTGTTTCCTTAGTTTCACTTTCTGATAATTCATTATTGGTGTACAAAATGCAACCGATTTCTGGACATTTATTTTGTATTCTGCTGCTTTATTGAATTCATTTATCAGTTCTGGTAATTTGGGGGTTGAAATTTTTAAGGTTCTCTATATACAGTAGCATGTCATCTGCAAATAATGACAGTTTTACTCCTTAATTTCCAATTTGGATGCCTTTTTATTTCTTCTGGTCTGGTTGCTGTGGCTAAGACTTCCTGTACTATGTTGAATAAGAGTGGGGAAAATGGACATCCCTGTCTTGTTCCTGATCTTAAGAGAAATGTTTTCGTTTTCTCCCACTGAGTATGATGTTAGCTGTGGGTTTGTCACATATAGTCATTATTATGTTAAGATATGTTCCCTCTATTCCCACTTTGCTGAGACTTTTTATTGTTACTGGGTGCTGGATTTTTGTACTTATCTGTATCTATTCATATGATCATATGGTTTTATACTTCGCTTTTATGTGTTGTATCACACTAAGGGATTTAAAGATATTGTACCAGCCTTGCACTCCAGGAATAAATCCTAACTGATCATGGTATATAAGCTGTTTTATATGTTGCTGGATTCAGTTTGCTAATATTTTTGAGAGCTTTTGGATCTATGTTCATCAAGGATATTGGCCCACATTTTCTTTCTGTGTAGTCCCTTCATCTGGTTTTGGAATTAGGATAATGCTGGCCTCATAAAATGAGCTTGGAAGGCTTTCTTCCTCCTGAAATTTTTTTGGAATAGTTTGAGAAGGGATTCTTCTTTGAATGCTTGGTAAAATACACCTGTGGAGCTATCCAGTCAGGGACTTTTGTTTGTTGCAAGTTTTCTGATTAGTGATTCAATTACATCAGTTGCAATCAGTCTCTTCAGATTTTGTTTCCTCTTGACTGGGTTTTGGAAGATATGTATGTTTCCAGGAAAATTATCTATTTCTTCCAGATTGTCCAATTTGTTGGCATTTAGTTGCGTATAATATTTTTTATACTTCTTTGTGTTTCTGTGGTTTCAGTTTTTACTTGTCCTCTTTCATTTCTGACTTTATGTATTTGGGTCCTCTCTGTTTCTTAATGAGTCTGGTTTGTTAATCTTGCTTATCTTTTCATAGACCCAGCTCTTGGTTTCATTGGTCTTCTGTATGTTTTTTTAGACTTTATTTCATTATTTCCACTTTGATTTTTATTATTTTCTTTCTTCTACTCTCTTTGGGCTTTGGTGGTTGTTCTTTTTCTAGTTCCTTTAGGTGTAAGATTAGATAGTTTGAGATTTTTCTTATTTCTTGAGGTAGGCCTATAAAACTACAAATTTCTGTTTTAGGCCTGCTCTCAGTGTGTCTTACAGGTTTAGGGTTGTTGTGTTCCCATTTGTCTCAATCTTTTGATTTCTGCTTGATCACATTGTTAAACCATTCATTGTTTGCTGACATGTTATTGAGCTTCCATGTGTTTGAGTGTTTTCAGTTTTTTTCTTTAAAGTGATTTCTGGTTTCATAGCATTGTGATCAGAGAAGATGCTTCACATTATTTTCACCTTCTTTAATTTATTAAGACTTGTTGTGTTCCCTAACACATGTCCTATCATAGGATATGTTCCATGTGCGCTTGAGAAGGATGTATATTCTTCTGCTTTGGGATAAAATGCTTGATAATATCAGTTAAATCCATCTAGTCTAGTGTGTCCTTTATGGCCACTGTTTCCTTGTTGATTTTCTGTCTGGAAGATGTATCCATTGGGATCAATAGGCTGTAAAAATCCTCTACTATGACAGTATTAGTGTTGATCTCTCCCTTTATATCCATCAAGATTGCTTTATATATTTAGGTGCTTCAATGATGAGTGTGTAAATGTTTACAAGGGTTGTGTCCTGTTGTTGGATTGGTCCTTTTAGTATTATGTAGTGTCCTTCTTTGTTTCTTATTACAGCCTTTGTTTTAAACTCTATATTCTCAGATATAAGTATTGCTTCCCCATTGTTTTTTATTTGCATAAAATATTTTTCCATCCCTTTACTTTCAGTCTGTGTGTGTTTTTCTGTCTGAGGTAGGTCTCCTGTAGACAGGATGCATATGGGTCTTGCTTTCTCATCAATTCAGCTACCCTATGTCTTTTGATTGGAACATTTAAGCCATTTACATTTGAACTGATCATTGATACATATGCATTTATTGCTATTTTTTCTTTTTTTAAATTTTAAAGATTTATTTATATTTTTTTTAGAGAGAGAAGGGGGGAGAAAGAGAGAAACATCAATGTGCAGTTGCTGGGGGCCGTGGCCTGCAACCCAGGCGTGCACCCTGGCTGGGAATCGAACCTGCAATACTTTGGTTCGCAGCCTGTACTCAATCCACTGAGCTATGCCAGCCAGGGCCTATCTTTTCTTTATAACTATGATCCTCTTTCACTTTTTTTCTTCTTAAAGAAGTCCTTTTTAACATTCTCATCTGTTTCTAAAAACTATCCTAAAGATTATAGTCTGCTACTTTGGGGCTTTGCTGAAAGGCAAGCAATTAAGGGAAATAAGGATGCCCTCTGGTAACCACTGTTGCTTCTCCTTTCTCATTCTCCTTCTTCTCAGCTGTAGGTGCCTCCTGGGAAGAAATTCATGAAGAAATAAATTTGAATCTGAGACTTCAGGTGCCAGATAAATTGGACACTGCTGGAAGAGGGCAATGGCTACTGCCTTCAATAGTGCAGTCCAGGTCTCCTTGAATCTAGGCTCCCTGCTTGTAGAGTATGATAATGACACTGAAGTCTTCCGTCAGCGCTTCAGGCAGTTCCAGTACAAAGAAGCAGCAGGGCCTCGTGAAGTTTTCAACAAACTCCGGGAGCTTTGCGATGAATGGCTGAAGCCAAAGATGCGTTCTAAGGAACAAATGGTGGACCTTCTAGTTTTGGAGCAATACCTGAAAATTATGCCCGCTGAGGTAGAGACCTCAGTGAAAGATCAATGCCCAGCGGCTACGGAAAGTGTTGTGTCACTATTAGAAGGATTAGACACCAAACTGGAGACACCAGAGCCACAGGTGAGAAAAGAGTTTGGGATCTTGGTAACTAAACCAAAAAGGTATCAGAGGCAGGTGGGTTTGGATGGGACATTTGTCTCTGTGTCATTCTTCAACTCCAGGATTTCTCCACAGTCCTTTTCATGCCACTCTTATGCTGGAAAAAACATATGGATCAGTGGTTTTCAGCCTCATCATGCCCAATCCCCCTTCTCTAACAAATATTCCCTAACTGCCCAGTAAATGTACTTAAGTGAAATTCATAGTTAACATAGCCTACCTACAATCATTCCTCAATAACTCCAATATTATGCCCTAGTGTCTGCACACCAGATCTGGCCACAACCTGTTTTGTATACCCTGTGAGCTAATAATGGTTTTGAAGTGATAAAGCATTATTAAATAGAAAATAAGAGGAAGGAAAATAAGTCACAGCCTGAATGTGGCAAAAAAAAAAAGCATAAAATATTTACTATCTGGCTCTTTACAAAGAAAGTTGTCCAACTTTGAGTCAAGTAGAGTCTAGAAGAAATTTGAAGGAAAAGAAACATAGTTCACTATAAAGTAGAAAGCATTTCAGTGTGCACATATCTGGGTTTGAGTGCACCTCAAGACCTCATGAAATTGTCAGGGGCTTGCCTGTCTGCAGACTCACTGTGAAGATGACAGTCTGTGTTTCAGACTGATACAGCTCAAACACTAATAGCAGTGTTGCTGTTTGTCCTGTAATTTTCCAAAGTGGCAAACAACTCTTGGTGAATCTGAACAATTAGTAGTATAGGTTATTTTTATTAAAAATTCACTTACAGCTTACACTCAGTATTATTCTGTATTAGTTTCAGGTATACAGCATAGTTGTTAGACAGTCATATATTGTACTTTACAAAATATTCCCCCTGATATTCCCAGTACTCACTTGGCACCATATTACAATCTTAATGACTGCATTTCCTATGCTGTCCTTTACATCACCATGACTTAGATTCCCAAAGTATTGCTTCCCTAGAGAAGTCAAGCTAAAATTTGCAAAAATATGTTGTGATTATATGATGAACCAAGGTGAACCAGGTTCTTTTACCTATGTGAATACTTGAAGGGGACACTCCAAATTTGGTAGGAACCTGGAGAAACTCTGCACTGTCCATTATCTGTACTCCCATCTCTGCCCACTTAATTCTGATAGCCAGCACCTGCCATTATACCCAAAACACCTCCTGGGGGTGGTGGCCCTGCCCTCTGTTCAGAAGCACTGAGTAAAGCTTGTTTGAGGCTGCCATAGCTGAGCACAGGGCAGCATCTCTGGAGAAGGGAGAGAGTAGTTCTAGTTGGGCATTAGGGGCACTGGAGTCTTGTGTGTTGATGGGACTCTGCAGTTAGCCTGCATGAGCAGGACTCTTCCAAAGTTTGCTGCTTCTAGAATGGAATGTGTTTATGATTTCCCTTCCTTTCTGTGTCTCCTTGTTTGGCTTACTACATGAGATGTTGTCTTCATGTAGTGTAATCCCGCAGTGTCGGCATGGTAGGCACCAGCCAAGCATGGCACTTGAGCACTAGAAATGTGGCTAGACCAAATTGGTATATGCTGTAAGTATAAAATGCACACCACATTCAGAAGATGTAGGCTGAACAATAAAGCAGGTGAAATATCGTATTAATAATTGTTTATACTGGTTACATTATGAAATTATAGTATTTGCGATATATTGGGTTAAATACTGCATGTTATAGAGATTGACTTTTACTATTTTACTTTTCACATGGCCACTGGAAAACTTGAAATGACTTGGGTGGCTTGCATTATATTCCTACTGGGCACTGCTAGTCTGGACTTTAGAATGATGGGTTCTGGCTTTTTTTCCCAGATCGATAGGCAGGAGATGCTCTTGGAAGACCCAGCAGCAGTTGGAATGGCACATGTGGTACCAGACATCTACCTGGAGACACTCCCACCCCAAGCAATGGGACCTGTCCCTGAGACCCCAGTAGCAGAGGCGCAGATCCCACAGGCAGGGCTGCAGGAGCTGAGCAATGGTGCCACTTGGGAAGGCCAGGCCTTTTGGGACCCTGGTAAGGCAAGGGTTTTATTTCCTTTCCTTGATTTTTATTTTGACAGCTCAGGAGCTCTATAGGGTTGGGGTTGCTTAGAAACACTGAATACCAGATGAATATGGATCTCTTTGATAAAGAGTAGGAGAAGGAAATGTCTCTTGAGGAATGGCTGGCCACAAAGCACACCAGAGAGATCAGGGTTCCAAATGCCTTAAGCTGATGAAGCTGCTCAGGAAGGAGACTTTGACCAAAATGTTATGCAGGAACTTGAGGAGAGTTTGGGTGTTATGAATCAAGATTAATTTCCCTAGCATATGTTTTATCAATGGAATCTGTAGTGTTGTTGTGGGTCCCAAGGGCCTCAGTGGCTCTTATAGCACAAGAGCCACATTCACACATGCTACTTTATCAATTACCATACTCACTTAAGATCCTTTAGAGGATTTAATTGCCTGTCACAGTAAAGGAAATATGTATCTTATCCATAAAAACTCAGACCGGCGTTTTTCCAAGTATACTAAGCAGATTATAGCCGGATCACCTGGGGTTCATTTTTTTGTTAAAGATTTTTTTTAAAGATTTTATTTATTTTTAGAGAGGGAAGGGAGGGAGAGAGAGAGAGAGAGAGAGAGAGAGAGAGAGAAACATCAATATGCGGTTGCTGGGGGTTATAGCCTGCAACCCAGGCATGTACCCTGGCTGGGAATCAAACCTGTGACACTTTGTTTTGCAGCCCATGCTCAATCCACTGGGCTTCGCCAGCCAGGGCTCTGGGGTACATTTTTAACAAGCTGTCCAGGTGAGTTCTGCACATACTATTCAAGAAACACTGCTCCAGATAGTGCAAGAGTTATTATTACAGGGATAGGAAGTGCAGGAGAAGAAAGGCTCATAGAAGTTCATAAAAATCTTGAAGGTGATTGAGGACTTTCCAGGATTGTTTAGAGGGAGAAAGCACAAGATTCTCTGGGCATACCCTGAGAGATATCACATTAGAAAAGACCATTATACTGCATATGAATTAGAAAATCTGTTAAGTATTCAGGTACCTTTGCTGGTTCCTTGGTTCCCCGTGTCTTAAGTGCATGAGAATGGGTATCCTAGTGACTAGGACCCATTTGCTCTTGAAGCCAATAGAAATTCTACCTCTGGTATTTACTTACCAATAGTTTGCCCCCCTCTCTTGTGGTCTCCATTCCAACTGCCATCTCTCCTCGCCAGGTGTCTGATAGACAGCGGGGGATTGTACATGAGAGACTCCACCCTCTCCTTGAAAAGGATGGCTTGGTCTATTCTAGGCCTAAAAATAGGACCACATGTTATCTGTGCAACACCCTCACCCATGGAATTCATCTCATAACATCACAGTAATGTTATTTGGTCACTAATTTTTCTCCCTTTCTGCATTTGTTCAATTTGTCTGGGTACCAAATTTTGTAACTTGCTCTAGCAAGTTTTGGACATGTAGAAGACATGTATTCTGTCTCGTTTTTTTAACGGACTCGACAAGGAGGAAAAACCCAAAAGGACATATGTATGTCCATTAAGGTCAAAGCCAAACTGTAAAATGTTGCCATTTATATTCTGGTCTCTACTTTACCTATATCCCTGATCTATTAACGAGTTTTTTTTTTATCTGAATTTTGTGTGTATGCCTGCAACAGGTGGCAGAACCTAGCCAGCCGTGTTCAGTTATAAATCTTTCTGCATATGAATTCCAATTGCATGTGTGAATTTGCTCCTCTTACTAACAGTGTCAGGTACAAAGATCACATATGATGCTGAGCAGCACTATTGCTCTTGATTTGAATACTTTAGTCTCTGAAGCACAGGAGTCCACTATATTTTACAAGGGAGAGATAGAGTGATGGAACAAGTAAATATATCAATTAGGGGGAAAGGAAACTACCCATTTCTCATCACTGTTTAAAGTAATATGACATCCTTTGTCCTACTGACTGGGAGGTCTTTATGTCTACCTCATGGTCACCAAAGTCTCTTCCTCCTTAACACTTGTGGAGGGTCAAAGGATCTGCGGGCTGATTTGGGAACAAGATATGACCAGGAGGGGGCAATAGCACACACAAGCTTTGTTGGGCAACTCTTTGTCAGGTGTGCTTGTGAGGGAAGTCAGGGGTCAGAGGGGAGGGGCACAAGGGAACTCTCCAGGGAGTAAGGGCTCAGAGAGGGGGCTTACCTGTCTAGGTGATATCATAGCCCAGTAGCACACTGGCAGTGTAGCGATCAGAGAATTCCAAAGGGCAGCAGCAGCTTGGAATCATATAACCACAAGGCTCCATCTTTTCCATGGCTAACAGTTGTGGGGTGATATTTTCTGAGCTATGCAAAGGAGGGTGGCTGTAAATGGATAAAAATATGCTTCTGGGGCTAATTTTCAAAAAATCGGGTATGAGAGAATTTGAGGTTGGTGCTTGCAGGCTTTTGAGTAAGAAGTCCCAGGTCGGAGTGAAGAACTGAACAACCTATGGCCCAGTACAAAGAGGGCTCGTTCACTCCCTTAGGCTCATTTCCAGAAAACCTCTGGGGTGGCTACTGTGGCGTTTGAGGGCAAAGAGAAGAGCACTGCCAATAGAAGTAGGCATAGATGCATGACTTCTGACTGACATTCAATGTTGACCAAACTACTCTGGGGCCAAGCTATAAAAGATGCACCATGAGCATCCTTGCAGGGGCATGCGTCAGCAGAACAAACTTCTAGGTTAGGAATGATTGGTTAGTGGGCATATACATTTAAACCTTTAATAGATACGGTCGAATGTCCTCCAAAACTACTGTACCAATTTGCCCTCCCATTCCAGCATATGAACGCCTGTGTCTGCTCACTTCACACACTGGCTTGCTTTGTGATGAGTGCTATGGCTGTTTTCCCCATGTTGGCAGACAGAAGGAGGGCTGATATCTGTGAATATCTTTTTAACCAGTGTCCAGTTCATTCAGCATTTGTGACAGTTTTTCACTGACTGCATGAGCAGAAGGTGGGAACTGAGGTCAGAAGGATGTCAGATGGGTCAAAGGGGGATGGATAGTGGTCTTAACTGACATGGGTTGTGAGCATTGGTTGTGGAATGCAAATTAGTGATAGGGGCAGGAGGAGGGCTCCGAGCATGCAGAAAGTGGAGGCTGAGTGTACCTGAGCCATAAGGATCTGAAGTGACACAGGAGGGAGGTGGGTAGGGCTGGTGTTGGTAGACAGCTAAGAAGTGCATGAGGTGAATATCCAGCAAGGAGCTCAAGTTTGGTCCAGCTTCTTTGAAAGCTGGCACCAGGGAGTACTATGGTGGGGTGAGTAAGTAAGGTGACAGTTCTCAGTCTTCTTTGGTTGGTGCTGCACAGAAAGGGGAAGCTGGACTGATGGTAAGTCTATGAGACGTAGCCGCCTGGTGATGATACTCCTGGCCTTGTTCTCACAGGTGCTAAATTCTGTCTCTGGGGCTGCTTTAGTCCTTGACTAGTCATGTCTTTAGCTCCCTTTCACCCAAGGGGCAGGTGTTTGGGATGGTTTAATGGTAACCTGTGATGAAGTCTAGAGCCTGAAGAACATCAAGTCTATGCTCTATGTGTGGGACGGGAACCCCCATAGGAACACATCCTTTAATTCTGAAATTACTTTCCCGTCTCTGCTATGGGGAGACTCAGCACTTCCAGGTTTCTGCCACCCTAAGGCTGTGCCACTGTCCACCCACCACCTTTGCCATCGCTCGCACTTTCACTTGATGGCACCTTTCCTTTGATCCATGACATCCAGTTTTATTTTATCTGGGGCTCATACCCTCTCATTCTGACCTTACTTTTGAAATGTAGGCATAACATAAACAAAATGAACAGTTGTATTTAAAATCTCTCTATTGGAAAGATCTGGTCTTTTAAAAATGAAAGTAGGAATACGGTGTTTTAGTCGACTTCCTGTGCTTTGATATAAGGTCCTGGAAGCTGAATTTTCCTTCAGATCAACATTACCCACACTGACTTGCTAATGTCATTTTACTAATTCCAATATTTAAACATTGCCCTTTATTTCCATCTGAAACGAGCCATTTCCAATCCACACTTTACTACAGACCAGTAAACTTAGCCAGAAGTGAGATAGGGGTGTGCAAAGAGGGTGGAGACACAGCAGCTCTCACTGAGGAGAGGGGTGGTAGGATACAGGGGGACTTGTGGTTTTTCTTAGATTGACAGTGAGAAACATTGCTTGATGATGATTCTGGTTAGTTTCAAGAGAATCTACTTCTAGACTTCAACTGAAACAAACACATACAGGTTATTATTATTTTTTTACCTGTTGCTTACCCACTTCAGTTGACATCATAATTTGAGTATTTCTTACCAAAAGTACTCCAGTAACCAATTGCCTAACCCCCACTTTGGCCTCTCTCTTTTTTCACTTGGAAGTCAGTTAGACAGTGTTTCTCAGTTTTAATATGACGTCACTATAAGAAGACTGATTCCATGTTCTGGCCCTCACCTACACAATCCCATTCTCAAAACAACAGTGGAACACGTTCAGTGTATTGACTTCACAAGGGAATTGATTCACCTCCCTTCCATAGACTGGAGGAGGACAGCTTTGAATCAAACACGATGGGATCTCCCCCATCCCCAGTTTGGGTTTTGTTCTTATGTTGAAAAATGAAAAAAAACACAACAAAAAAGACTTGTCAGAGGCTCCTGGTGAAGCAATGCTGACAAGGTAGTAGGCAGATACTGAGAAGTTGCATGTCCTAGAAAGAGACCTATGCTCTGCATAAACCTGTGTTGACTCAAAACTACCCTTCCTCCCATCTCTCCTATGGCCAGCATATTCACTGCCAAAGCCTGACCCCATAGAGCCCTGGATGAAGGAACTACAGGATTGCGTGGAAGAGGAACAATTTCAATGGCTTGACTTCAAGATAGGTAGGTGAGGGTTCATGTGATGCTTGGAAAAAACTAAAGAAATTTCCATGCTTACTCCCAGAGTAAAGAGGTTTGGGATGCCACTTGGAAGTGTTTATCTTCCCACTAGGTGTTGAGCCATAACTCTTCTCAGTCCCTACCTATTCATTCCCCTTGGAACATGGTGAGGTCTTCAATTTCTATTCATGCCCTCCATTTTGATATTGGGAGAGAAAATGTGTCAAAACAAAAAAGAACCCTGGAGAGCATGTCTCCATTTTCTTTTTCTTTAGACGGAAATGCACTTCTTGGTCCAGGTTTACCAGAAGACTTCGAACTGCCAAAAAGTCTGCTGGGAAATCCTGCAGAGCAGCTACCCAGAGAGCACACATTGCCTGTCTACGACCAGAACCCCTTTCCAGAAGAAAGAGCTGAGATATCCAACCAGGAAGAACCTCTCAGCCCCAGAGCCCATGAGCAAAACCATGCCCAAAAGAGCCCACACCAGTGTCTTCACTGTGGGAAAGAATTTGTTTCCAATAAGGTACTTAATGGGCACCTGAAAATTCATGCAGGAGATCTCCCTCATGAGTGCCTTGAATGTGGGAAAAGGTTCCTTCGTAAGTCCAACCTACAAAGGCATCTTCGAGTTCACAGAAGGGAGGCACCCTATAAATGCAATGGGTGTGAGAAGCAATTCAGTCAGTTGTCACACTTCACAGAACACCAGAAAACCTCTTCTGGTCAAGAAGTATACATTTGCCCTGAGTGTAGGGAGCGTTTTTGCAATAGAAAAGGTTTTGTAAACCACCTAAAAATCCACACAAATGGAAAACCTTTTAAATGTCACAGTTGTGGAAAAACATTTAATCGACAAAGAGACCTTAGTGTGCACTACAGGACGCACACTGAAGAGAGACCATTTATGTGTGAGTATTGTGGGAAGAACTATAGACATAGATCAAGCCTTGTTTTTCATTTAAGAAACCATTCAGAGGAGAAGCCATAGAAGTGCATTCATTGTTTTTTACAAGCTTCATAAAGAAAACATGCTTTAATGTGCACCAAGCTGCTCACTTTAGAGAAGAATATGTTGCGGAAACCAGGTTCTACACAAATTGACACAAATCTATCAAAACTTTAACCTGTATTAGACTGTCTGGGAAGAATTGTTTTGTTTGAGCTTATTCATAAGAACAGCTTTGTCTTTGGTGTGCTTAAAATCCATCTTCCAAGGCATATAAATTCTAGAGCAGGGGTATCAAACTCATTTTCGCTGGCGGCCACATCAACCTTGTGTTTGCCTTCAAAGGGTCGAATGTAATTTTAGGACTGTGTAACTACTCCTTAACTAGGGGAAAGGAGCTTAGCACTCCCACTGGGTAGAAACAGGGTGCAGGGCTGGATTTGGCCCTTGGGCCTTGTGTTTGACACCTGTGTTCTAGAGCATTCACTGACTCTTGACACTGTCCCAGACATGATTATTTCTTTTTTTAATAATTATTTTATTCTTGTTCAATTACAGGTCTCTGCATTTCCTCCCCAATCCCCACCACCCCATCCAAGCCTCCCTTCCTCCCTTACTTCTACCATCCCCCTTTGTTTTGTCCTTGTGTCCTTTACAGCAGTTCTTGAAAACCCTTCCCCTCATTATCCCCTCTGACCTCCCATCTGGTTACTGTCAAATTTTTCTTAATTTCTGTGTCTCTGGTTTTATTTTGCTTTCTTTTTTCTTTTGTTCATTAGGTTACAATTAAACGTGAGATTATATGGTATTTGTCTTTCACCATCTGGCTTATTTCACTTAGCATAATGCTCTCCAGTTCCATCCATGCTGTTGTAAAGGGTAGGAGCTCATTCTTTCTCTCTGCTGCATAGTATTCCATTGTGTAAATGGACCATAGTTTTTTGATCCGCTCATTTGCTGATGGGCACTTCGGTTGCTTCCAGCACTGGGCTATTGTGAATTGTGCTGCTATGAACATTGGGGTGCATAGGTTCTTTTGGATTGGTGTTTCAGGGTTCTTGGGATATAATCCCAGCAGTGGAACTGCTGGGTCAAAAGTCAGTTCCATTTTCAGTTTTCTGAGGAAATACCATACTGTTTTCCACAGTGGCTGTACCAGTCTGTATTTCCACCAACAGTGCACCAGGGTCCCCTTTTCTCCACAACCTCTCTAGCGCTTGTTTTTTGATTTGTTTATGATGGCCATTCTGACCAGTGTGAAGTGGTATCTCATTGTGGTTTTAATTTGCATCTCTCTAGTGGCCAGTGATGCTGAGCATCTTTTCATATGTCTTTGGGCCCGCTATATCCAGATATGATTATTTCTGTGTAGGCGAGTCTTGTTTAATCCTTATCATGAAAATGTCTTTGTCCCAGGTCAACTACAGCACAGGTGTTAGTAAGGGATATGCAATGTTGACATTCCTTTCAGGTCTAGGGTCAGTAATCCAATAGATGGCGATGTACCCATTTGACCTGTATGTATGCAATATTTTAGTCCTGTGGAAATACATATGCTGTTCCTGTTTGATTGCCACTGACTAGTAGTTGCAGCAACATGCAGATGATTCCCTGACGGTGCCAACAAGCACTTCCCTTGACTCCCTCTTACGCCACAGGCAGAATCTCCTGTGCACCCACTATTACGTTTATACATGACTTGAGCCTTGAATGCAGTCCGTTTGTGTCATGTGGATCACTTCCCAAAGAGAAGGACAAAGGGAAACATCCAACTCTTAACATACTGTGAGGGGCAGGGAACAGTACCCATCGCACCAGTACCAGGAAGAGGGAGCGGACTAGATAAATGTGGAGACCCTACCTGGAGTGAACATGCAGGAAATATTGTATTTTCTTTCTGTTCTTTGAAATGATGAAAGCATTGAAGGCCACAAGCTTTAAGTCTAACTTTGGTCACCTCCCCAAAATCTTACGCAATGTTCTTACTTGTTATTTTGCAATTGTTTGTTATTGCAGCTTATATTTTTTTCCGTTCTGCTCCAAGAGTTGGACATTGTCGATAATTTCTGTCAAGTTTTGTTTATATTGCAAAGTTATTAATAAATGTGGTTCATTCTAGTTTTGCTTTGAAGTTTATTTACATGTTCTTGAAGACTTATGACTTATGACCATAGAGACTAACGGTTCCATTTGTAGGGTACACCCTAGGAGAGGAGTGGTTGTGTCATCAGCTTATAGCCATTTACTTTCTAAAAACTGCCAAAACATATGACAAACACCTTTTCCCACCCCCTTGGCTTGTGTTTTCACTCACTAATTGGTGTCCCCTGATGAGGAGAATTTCCCAGGTGTAACATAGTTCAACTTATCATTTCCTCCCCCTTTACTATTAGTGCTGTTTGAATCCTGGTGAAGAAATGTTTTGTCTACCCCAAGATCGTGAACATATTTTCTACATGTTCATTTTAAAGTTGTATTTTTTTACCTTCCACACTCGTATCACATTTTTCCTGGAGTTGATTTCTTTTACAAATGGTATGAGGTAAGATTCAAGGAAACACTTGATATTTGGTCCTCAGCCTTTAGGTCTTAGCAAAAATTGAGGTGGTAAGAGAATGTATTTACCAGCCTTTACATGGAATCAAACAAGTGAGTTATGAACAACATCCCAGGCAAAGGAATGTCTCAGGAAAAGGTCTGAGGAGAGAAACACAGAGTGGCTGGAGGTAAAACTAGAGTGCTAGGCAAAGACCAGGTAATGAATAGAGGGTGTAGTAATCCTCCTGATGGAGTTGGAACCTCATCTCTCAATCAGTGGAAAACCATCCCGCTAGTTGAGAAGAATGGGTGAAATGTGCATTTTATAAAGCCCACTCTGGCCCCTGGATGGTGATTAGAGAAGACAAGATCGGGACAGGAAGACCAGTGAGGAGGCTGCTGCAGATGAGAAAGTGGGTTGAGGTAAGGACAGTGGTGTGCAGATGAAACAGAAGGGAAGAGTTATTTGAAGGGGGGGAATTAGGAGGCAGAATCTACAGGCTCTCATGACTGACTGGATATGAGGAGTGTGATAGCCAGATCTGTGTCCTGAGGGCCTGGAGTTGGGAGACTGGGGGGAGCAGACCATGAAAAGGGAATGAGAGCCTTCTTGGCCAATAGGTCCATGGTTACCCATTGAAACTCATAGAAGTTTCAGTCCTGTCACCCTGTTCACTCTGCTCAAGACTGTCTCCTGCCCACAGTGATTCACTCTTAATAATCTTTGGGGGTATGTTATGTTCCAGATAATATAGGTCCTGGGGATGGCAGAGTCGAGTACTTACCATCCCCAGTAACGAGATGGTAAGTACAGTCACAAACAAGTATGTGCAAGTTAACATGGGAGGAAGTGGTCAAAAGGTACAAACTTCCAGTTGTAAGATTAGTAAGTTCTAGGGAGACAATGTGCAACATGATGACTATAGTTACCACTGGTGTATGATATCAGTAGGTAGGAAAGTTGTTGAGAGAGTGCATTCTCGGAGTCCTCATCACAAGGAAACAACTCTTTCTTTCCCTTATCTTCTTTCTTTTTGTTGTATCTGTATGAGATGATAGATGTTAGCTGAACCTATTGTGGTCATCATTTCACAATATATATAAATCACCTTGAGCTTAGACAGTGATATATGTCAATTATTTCTCGATGAAACTGGGAAATAGAAAGAGAAACTTAACAAATTAAAACTTAATCATTACCCTATGACACAGGAATCCCCCCTCTGGCTTGTTATCCACAAGAATGGAAATGAGCGTCTGCAGGAGATATTAGCACCTCAGTGTTCATGGCAGCACTATTCTCAAGTGGCAAGCTGTGGAAACTATCTAAATGTCTGTCAACAGATGAGTGGATAAAGAAAATGGGGTACGTACATTCAGTGGAATATTATTCAGCCTTAAAAAAGATGAGGAAATTCTGTGATATACAACAACATGGATGAACATTGAAGACATAATGCTGAGTGGAATAGGTCAGTCACAGAAGGACAGATACTGCATCTTTCCATTTACACAAGGAATCTAAAATGGTCCAACTCTTTAGAATCAGAGTCAGATGGTGGTTACTAAGGGAGGGAGAAATGCGGTGTTGCTACTCAGTGGGACTCAAGATTCACTTATGCAAGATGAGGAAGTTCTAGGCTCCATACTGTTATGTACACATCGGGCCTATAGTTAACAGCACTGATCTGTACACTTGAAGTTTTTTAGAGTGTAGAGCCCATGTTCACTGTTCTGACTATAATAACATAATTTAAAAAAATAGAAAGGAAAACCACCAAGACTCACATTTAATGGAATAAAAGGAAGGATAGGAAAGCCACAAATATTCTGTAAAATAAAATGCCAAACTGCATCTAAGGAGGGTGGTCAATAAATATTTCTGAAGTGAAGAAATGAACACATTTTTAGAAGGAGAGAACAAAGACAGATGTTGTTTACTGGCACCTGAGGATCTACTAGGGGTGGTAGAATGGTGGGACCACCAACGTCCAAATGTTTGCTGGATAGACCCAGACACACTGTTTTATATATACTCTGAGGAAACCAGGATGGGTTCCTGGGTTCATGAAATGGGTGCAAGAAGCAACAGTTTCTTCTTTCTCAGAAGGCCCTCTACAGTGACTATGTATTGACATTCAAAGGGAAATAACTTACAGTAGAGAATGGAATACTTGTGGTGGTTGATCTGTGTGTTCTTTTTCATGCTATGTAAATCATAGAGTGAAATGGCCCTCCACTGCTTGGCAAGACAAGGAGAGTTTCTTGACCTCCATTTCTAAGCTCCTTACTGTTAACAGCATCTATTATTATTTATTGAGTGCTTATACTATGTCACAATTGTTAATAAGTATTTGACATACTTCATCTCATCTCATCCTCCCAATCAGCATATGAGGCAAGAACAGTTGTTTTTTAAATACACTTCAGAAATGAGGAGACTGAGGCTCGGATAAGTTTAAAACATTACCCAAGGTCACACAAGTAACTGTGACTCAAACTGCAAAGCTTGACTCTAAGCCCTGACACCCTTTGTT